ATGCCCCCATAAACCCGGTGCACTTAAATAGCCATCTCGGGCTCTTCTTGAAAGGTTAAGGTGATGATGTGCGGGCAGCGAAATAGCCACCTCAGACGGGTGAGTAAAAGGGGATGGGGATCCCAGCCAGCCAGGCTCAGTGACTGAACCAGGAGGGCACAGTTCGATTCCCGGTCAGGGCACATGCCCAGGTTTCTGGCTCAATCCCCAGTGGGGGGCATGCAGGAGGAAGCCAATCAGTGACTCTAATCATTGATGTTTCTCTCTCCCTCTCTCTCTGAAATCAACATTTTTTTAAAAAGTCTTTAAAAAATAAAAGGGGATGGGGATAGCCAAAGGGAAGGGCTACACAGCACTGAGCCAAAGGGTGCTGGGTCCATGGTGGCAGCAAAAGTATATTTGGGACAGAGAAGCAACAGGAGAGCCTAGGCTGGGCTGCTCTGGCCATTGAAGTCAGAGAGATGGAGGGGCCTTGGAGACAGGTTCAGGGGGTAAGCCCAGGATGAGCTGCTGCTGCCCATTGCTCTCCTGGTTGCAAGCCTGGTGGGGTCCCCTCAGATGGATGGAGATGGCACTGGCGTGCTCCCCTGGTGGGAAGCATGCACTGCGTCCTTTGTCTTGAGCATATTTCTCTCTTTCTTGCAGGCAGGAATCTTAGGGGGGGTCTCAGGGGAGGATCTCAGTAGAATATTCACCAGCTTTCCAGGTGTACTTTTTCAGGGTCTTGGTATCCACTGGTTGGTGCCAGGGCAGGGGGTTATTAGTCAATGTATCTGGTCCTGAGGCAGCCACTTGTCTGGTTTTGCTGCTTCTCTGGGCCTGGAGCTGAAATACAGCTGAGGCCTAGATGTTACCTTTAGGGAAGAAACACTCAGGGGTCTAAACTGCACAAGCAGGAATATGCTAGGGGAGAACAGGTTACCCTGGGGACCAGGTTCTTGTTTCCCCAGTTTTGCCCCTTGCTAGGCATCCAGGGCTTCTTGCGTGAGTCTCTGTACCTGAGTTTCTATACCTGGGTTTCTGTACCTGGCCCATCTAATACTTCTTCTCAGAAACTGACCCGAGACAGGTGGTACCAGGCGTGGTCCAGGTAAGCATCCTCCACAGTTGGGATTTGGATTCAGAATGCCCATTGACCAGCAGTGCACGCGTTAAGACTGCCGTGTGGTGACATGTGCAGCACATAGATGGATAAGGAAGGGCACAATTACCATGGTGGTGCGATAGGCTGAACTGTGTCCCCTAAAATCCGTATGTTGAAGTCCTGACCTCCAGGACCTCAGATGTGACTGTGTTTGCAGATGAGGTCTTTACGGAGGTGATTATGTTAGGCCAAGGTCATCAGGATGGGGCCCTAATCCAATAGGACTGGTGTCCTTATCAGAGGGGAGATCAGGACTGACACACACAGAGGCAAGATCATGTAAGGCCACCCAGGAGGAGACAGCCACCTACATGCCAAGGAGGGGCCTCAGGAGAAACCAAGTCTGCCAACGGTTTGATCTCAGGCTTCCTGCTTCCACAACAGTAAGAAAATAAGTGTGTGTTGTTTTAAGTCCCTTGTCTGCACTACTTGTAGGGCAGCTCTAGCCAATGAGCACAGGCACCCTGATCTAGGGGCATATATGAAGACGGTGCAGAGAACATGGAGCTCTGAGATGTAAGGCAGACGGGTGGCTGGTGAGGGGGTTGCTGACAACGGTGATTCTGAAACCAGCTCATGGCCATCACCTGCAGGACTTCTTAAACATGGGTTGGGTTGCTGGGCCAAGTCTCAGAATTTCTGATTCAGTAGGTCTGGGGTGGGGCCAAGAATTTGTATCTCACACACTCCAGTGGTCCGGAAGCCACACTTCGAAGACCACTAGCTTATTACAGATAGAACCAAAAGAAATTCTAAAACAAACAGGGTTGCAGTCAGCTGCCCCGGCGGGAAACACAATCCCTGGGCCTGCTTCCCTACCTCAGCCAGTCTTCAGACCAGAGCGCCCATAAAGCGGATTTCTTAGGTGTCCCCGTGGACGAGGACAGACAGCAGTGACTCCTAGACTTTCTCTAAAAGGACCTACAGCTGCTTATGTAGACAACTGTGCACTGGAACACAGACACATATGATCTGGGTCTGAGCTGGCATGGATGCCTGGACACCCAAAGCACAACCTGGGCACCACATGGCTCTACTCGGGCTGCCCAGAGACAGCAGCGAGGAGACTCTGGCCAGAGTTGCCGCAGCACACTGGGTCATGCACCCTGTGTAGACAGGAGTGTGTCCGACAGCTGGGACTCATGTGGACTCAGCCACCCAGGGAAACTGTCTGGATAATTGATCAGGACCTAGGAGCAGGACTGTACCATAGTGGGGGAGGTGCTGGGCAGGCACAAGGAGTGCAGTCTCATGTCCCGTGACCATGGGCACTGGAACACTGTGCAGAGGAGGCACTGAGCCACCCACAGCTGGATGACTTGACCAGGGAATGCGGTCCCTCCAGTACATGCACATGGGCACAACCAGAGTAGCCCAGATGCAGGCACAGGCCAAGCATGAGCCGACTGCACAGGTTCCTCTCCCAGGCCAGTCCAGCCTTTCATTGCTGCCCATGAGCCTCCCAGCAACGGGACTCCAGAGCTGACACCGACAAGCAACTCAATGGGAAATCGACCACTCCAGGCTCGACTCCGGCCCAGGTGCTTCAGTCAGTCTACAGTGTGGGCTCCTGCAAAACAGACCCCGCTCACGGCAAGAGGGTGCAGCACGGCTCCAGGGCCATGGCTGCCTCACCCTCCAGAAGCTGCTGGCCGGGAGAACGCTGGGCAGCCTTGTAAGGACAGCTGACACCCCACAGAAGCATGTCCTTTAGGGTGTGGGCGTTACCTTATGTCATGTCCCTAGGAGGTGGGAACCAAGGAATGGGAGGCACGTGGCCCGGCTGCCAGGCCCCAAGTACCTACTGGGTACACATGCTTCTTGTCCCTGCAACTTCAGGCTGAGAATACAATGGCCCTAATCTCCAGGAGGAAAACACAGAGAGAGTGTCCCACTCACCTTACAACTGTGGCTACCACCAAGGTGGCTTCCTGTCCAGTGAACCAGCAGACCAAGCAGTTGCCACCCTGGCAGGGGTGGCCCTGACTGTCATGTGGAAGCAGGGTGCTGTCCTGGGCATCTCAGTGTTTCCATGCCAGCTTCAACTATAAGTGGTCAAGGAGAGTAGAACCCGACAGGGGTGTGGTTACCAAGATGCGGGCCAACAAAGTGTTTGGTCACCACCTGCCCTGGGCAAGGCAGGTGAGCGTCTGTGGTGCCTCCGAGCCACGGCTCAGTGGGGCCGTGGTTGCCCTGCTCACCACCCTCTTGTAAGTTCTCCCAGGAAGAATCCTGCAGAAGCTGGAATAAACTGAATGTGAGGGGCTAGTGGACCTGAGAGGCCAGGGCACTGCCACTGGGGCTCTCGACAGCATCCTTCTTAGGAGGATCCCCTTTAGCTGACAGGAACTGACTTCCCTCCATGCAGTGGGGCACAGTCAATGAGCAACAGACAAAGAAGCATGTGACACCCCCCCTCACAGCAAGTGCCAACCACGAACCCAGCCTAAGGGGCTGAGCAATGGCAGGAACCTCAGGAGCTGGCCTGGCCCCACCCTGCTCTCCACCTTGTCTTCTGCTCAGGGCTCTGTCTTGGCTTCTCCTGCCCGAGACATGTGACCTCAGGGGAGTGTCTGCCAAAGCCTGGCTCCTCCACCCTGGCCAGGATACAGTGGCCAAGCTCTGAGCCCAGGCCTGCAGCATCCATTCCACCCCAACACACACCTGACCCCAAGACAAAAGAGTGAGGCGAGACCCACAGGAGGGGTGGAATTGCTTTTATTGGGGTGGGCACTGCAGGCCCACCCATGGTCAGGTTAGTGTTCTGCCCTGAGGCAGCTGGAAGCCTAGCACCTCCACCCGCCTCCTGCCTGGGTTAGTGGAACATGCAAAGCTCAGTAAGAGGGTGGAGGCAGGGGTAAGAGCCACCAAGGCCAGGGGCTGAGTAGAGCAGGAGGGGTGGCACCAGCTGGGCTGCCTGAGTCAGCACAGACAGTCCATCCGGCATCCCTGGGCCCAGTGAAGGGCTGAGGCTCCCTGGGAGAAACAGGCAGGTGAGAAGCACCCCAGGCAGACTCCAGAGGCTCAAGGGGCCATGGGGCCCACCAGAGAAGAAAGACTACAGAAGCCCCACCCATTCCCAGCCAGGGACAGCAGTCCCAGCTTCAACAGGAGGGCCTCTCACCCCAGGCCTGGGTCCTAAGGGCCCAGCATGCGAGGCGGACACAGAAGGCACTTACTAGGAGCTGAGGCTGAAAGACAGAAGCCAGAGGCCTGGGGTTGCAGGAGTGTCAAGGACTGGAGGCTGGAGACTAGAGACTGGGGGCAGCCTGGGCCAGCTGGTTCTGCAAACTGGACCCTCATCTTCCCATGGGGAAGGAGCTTCTCTGGGCAGACTGGAAGAGATGGCTGACCCAGGATCCTCTCCCTCCCCACATGGCCCACTGAGCCAGCAGGTCAGTCCTGGAAACATGAGAAAATGCTGGTTCTGAGGGCCCTGTTAGGGACAGGTGTCCCTGCTGCCCCGAGCAGCTAGGATTGGTGGTTGGTCGTTGGGCAGGGCCAGCCTACAGGGTGGGGGACCTCACCCAAACAGAACCCTCCCTGGGAAGACAGGAGGGCTGGGTTGGAGGCCCTGCTCTGGACCCTCCAAGGCACCTGGCTGTGGTGAGTGGCAGGTAGAGAGGAGGAAGGACCTGGTGGGTGAGGTGATCAGTGGGGCTGGACTGGCCCTGTCCCCCAAGACACAGGGCTGTCTGGACAGCACACACATTAATATATTAGTCTGGTCTTTTTGGTTAAACTTTAGGCACCGCTTGGGAGGAAGACACCTTTAAACATTAAAGAAAAAAAGACTCAGCGCCTGGGCAGGGAGCCTGGCCACATGCAGAGCAATAGGGTCGGGGGCAGACAGGCGTCAGGCCGTGGCAGACTCAGGGCCCCCCAGGGAGGTTGTGGGCCCCGAGGTGTAGCGGCGGCCATAGCCTGAGGACGAATAGGAGGAGGAGGAGAAGGTCATGGAGAAGCCGGAGCCGGTGGCATCGAAGCTGCCCCGGCGGGAACCAGCGCGCGAACCAGTGCGGGAGCCGGAGCGGGAGCCGGCCGTGGAACCGGAGCCGCTGACACTGTAGGGGCTGTAGTAGCCCTTGCTAGACTGAGCGGCAGCCTCCAGCAGCCGCAGCCCTGTGCCCTCCTCCACCATGCTGCGATCCAGCGCATCCTTGTAGGAGATCTTAAGCTTGGTCTTGGGGCAGGTGAGGTACTTGGAGTACGCACCCACATCGCGCAATTTCTGGGCGGTGCGGGCATCCACTGTGCCACGCTGCAGGGCTTCATCAAGGGGCACACGGCCTGGCGTGTCTGGCTCAATCAGGCCGCCGGTTAGGTACTGCACCTCCAGGAAGCGCTGGCCTGCCTCGTAGTAGAGCCAGCCTTTCTTCAGGGCCTGGGCGGCCGACATCTTGGTCTTGGTGCGCGGGTCCTCAAACCCATTGAAGGCCTTCTGGGCCAGGTTGATGCGATCCACCATGATCTTGTCCACCAGGCCCTTGTTAACGGCATCAGTGACAGGGAAGCGTTCGCCGGTGCTGGGATCGATGATGCCTCCGGTGCAGGCCTGAGCCTCCAGCAGCCGCTGCCCTGTGATGTTGTCCACCAAGTTGCGGTGCATGGCCTCCGTGATGGACACCTTCTCCAGCGTCTCTGTGTCCAGGATGCCAGCCACAGGGCCTGTCTCCTCAGTGGGGTCAGACCAGGCGGCCAGCTGGGTCCTGGGGACAGCGGGGCTGACAGGGTAGGAAGAGGAGGACCCTACCGAGGATGAGCGGGAGCGGAAGCCGCCGGCACTGCCCGAGAGCATGTCAGCAAACTCGGTGATGGAGAGCGTGCCAGCGCGGTACTGGTCTAGCACAGAGCGGTCGATGAGGTTCTTTGCAATGGCCTCATCTATGTCATACTGGCGGCCGGAGCGGCGGTCAATGATCATGGACTTGACCACGCCATCCGAGGAGGAGATGGTGATCTCCTCCCACTCGCACTCCTGCTCCGACAGCTCCAGGTACGTCGGGTGGTCAATGAGGCCCTTGCGGTAGGCCTCGTACACTGACATCTCCTTGCCCGTCTCAGGGTCCACGATCACCACGCGGCGCTTGCGAACCGAGGACTTTGAGGATGTCTTCCGCTCCCGCTTCTTCTCCTTCAGTGGCAGGAGGCATAAGCCCGTCTGGGGATCGGTGATGCAGCGCTCCATCAGCTGCAGGTAGGTGAGGTTTTCCTCTGTGTTGGGGTCGAAGAAACCCTTGGTGTCGTCACTCGGGTCTGTCAGGATCTCATTCATCTCCTCGTCAAAGAGGCCGCGCTTGTAAGCCATCTGCACGGGCAGCCGGTGGCTCTCCTCGGGGTCGATGATGCCGCCCGTGGCGATCTGGGCCTCCAGCAGGCGAATGCCGTGGTCCTTCAGGATCAGGCCCTTCTTCATGGCCTGGAAGAGGGAGATGAGCTTCCCAGAGTAGGGGTCCTTGTAGCCAGTGACCGCACGCTCTGCCGACAGCAGTTTGTCCTTGAACTCAGGGCCCACGATGCCCATGCGCACGGCCTCCTCCACAGTCAGCTTGAGCCCCTTAATGGGGTCGATGACATAGCCAGTGGCTGCCTGGGCCTCCAGGAGCTCAAAGGCCGTGCCTGGACGGATGATGCCCTTCTTCATGGCCTGGTACACTGATAGCCTCTCCTTGGTGGCATCAACAAACACACCAGCAATACAGCTGGTGCCCTCAAGGAACTTCTGCAGGGTCTTGGTGACCTCCTCCACAGAGGCCAGGCCCTCCTGCAGCTGCCGGGCAGTGGCCTCATCCATGACCTGCGAGCGCACCAGCTCCTCCACTGTGATCTGTTTGCGCAGCCCGCGGAAGGTCAGTCTGCGGGTGTCTGAAAGCGGCAGGAGCAGCTGCCCGCTGTTCTCGTCTCGGCGGCACCGCCGGAGCAGCTGCGTGTAGCTGAGGCGCTCGTCCGTGGAGGGGTCCAGGTAGCTGCGCACCTCGCTGGGCTCTGACAGCTGGTCATACGTGTCCTTGTTGAGGTAGCCGCGCTGATAGGCCACCTCCAGCGGGAGGTGGAAGCCCAGGCGCGGGTCCACGATGCCACCTGTGGCCAGCTGGGCATCCAGCAGCCGCAGGGCCTCCTCGGCAGGGATCAGGTCCTTCTTCATGGCCTGGAAAAGTGAGATAGGCTGCTCTGTGTAGGGGTCGCGGTAGCCGGTCACAGCCCGCTCGGCCGACAGCAGCCGGTCGTGCAGCTCAGGGCCCACCAGGCCCTTACGCACGGCTTCATCCACTGTCAGCCGCTCGCCCTTCACTGGGTCCAGCAGGAAGCCTGTGGCCGCCTGGGCCTCCAACAGCAAGCGGGCCACCTCTGCGCTCAGCAATCCCTTCTTAAGGGCCTGGTATATGGTCAGTGTCTGCTGGGAGCCGGGCAGGTAGACGCCGGCCACACAGCCCGTGCCATAGAGGTAGCGCCAGGCAGACTCCGCCTCGAGCACCTCACGGAGGCTCTTGGTGCCTTCCCGGAGCAGGTTGTAGGTCTCGTGGGAGATGACCCGCGCCTCGTACAGGTCCTCAGCGGTGAGGCGGCGGCGCACGTAGTCATAGGAAGCCAGGTTCTGCTGGCGGATGATCTCAGTCTTCTCGATGATCTCAATGATGATGATGATCATGCGTTCCTTGGTCACCCGGCCAGCCTGGAAGTCGGCCATCAGCCGGGTCCGCTGCTCCTCAGGGATCAGGTCCGACTGCATTACCTCCCACAGGGACATGGTGGAACTGCCTTGGCTGCTGCTGCCCGGGATGTCAATCTGCGTCTCCTCAAATGCCCTCCGGGTCTCCTCCTCTGTGTACACCTGTGTGGTCTCCACCACCTCCACCTTCTCTGCCCCCTTCAGCGGCAGGAGACGCAAGCCAGTCTCGGGGTCCTCCACACAGCGCTCCAGCAGCTGCATGTACGTGAGGTTCTCATGCGTGTTGGGGTCGAAGAAGCCCTTCGTGTCGTCGCTCGGGTCCGCCAGGACGCGGTTCATCTCCTCGTCGAAGTAGCCGCGCTGNTATGGTCAGTGTCTGCTGGGAGCCGGGCAGGTAGACGCCGGCCACACAGCCCGTGCCATAGAGGTAGCGCCAGGCAGACTCCGCCTCGAGCACCTCACGGAGGCTCTTGGTGCCTTCCCGGAGCAGGTTGTAGGTCTCGTGGGAGATGACCCGCGCCTCGTACAGGTCCTCAGCGGTGAGGCGGCGGCGCACGTAGTCATAGGAAGCCAGGTTCTGCTGGCGGATGATCTCAGTCTTCTCGATGATCTCAATGATGATGATGATCATGCGTTCCTTGGTCACCCGGCCAGCCTGGAAGTCGGCCATCAGCCGGGTCCGCTGCTCCTCAGGGATCAGGTCCGACTGCATTACCTCCCACAGGGACATGGTGGAACTGCCTTGGCTGCTGCTGCCCGGGATGTCAATCTGCGTCTCCTCAAATGCCCTCCGGGTCTCCTCCTCTGTGTACACCTGTGTGGTCTCCACCACCTCCACCTTCTCTGCCCCCTTCAGCGGCAGGAGACGCAAGCCAGTCTCGGGGTCCTCCACACAGCGCTCCAGCAGCTGCATGTACGTGAGGTTCTCATGCGTGTTGGGGTCGAAGAAGCCCTTGGTGTCATCGCTCGGGTCCGCCAGGACGCGGTTCATCTCCTCGTCGAAGTAGCCGCGCTGATAGGCCACGTGCACAGGGAGGCGGTGGCTGTGCACAGGGTCGATGATGCCGCCCGTGGCGATCTGGGCCTCCAGCAGGCGGATGCCGTGGTCCCTGAGGACCAGGCCCTTCTTCATGGCCTGGAAGAGGGAGATGGTGCTGCCTGAGTATGGGTCCTTGTAGCCTGTCACAGCCTTCTCTGCCGACAGTAACTTCTCATGCAGCTCAGGGCCCACAACGCCCGCCTTCACAGCCTCATGGACGTATAGCCGCTGGTTCCGCACGGGGTCCACTAGGAAGCCAGTGGCCGCCTGGGCCTCAAGCAGGAGTGTGGCCGTGCTGGGCGTGAGCAGGCCTCGCCGCATGGCCTCATAGATGGTCACCTTCTCCTTGGAGTCCTCCAGGTAGATGCCAGCGAGGCAGCCACTGCCCTGAAGGAGCATCTGCACGGAGTCCACCTCCGACAGGTCCTTGACTGACGTCTTGCCATCTTTGAGCTGCTCAAACTGGGCCTTGCTGAGGACCCCGGAGTCCAGAAGCTCGCTGGCCAGCACTGGGGCGCGGAGGCCACTAAAGGAGAGCCTCTCCCGCCGCAGCATTTCTACCTCTTCCACGATGGTGATGAGGATCTTGATGACCTTCTCCACAGTGACTTTGCCCGTGCGGAACTGTTGCAGCAGCTCCCGCTGCTGCTCCTCTGTGAAGTACTCGGAGTGGATAAGCTCCCAGATGGTCACTGTCCTGCCCTGGAAGCTGCCCACAGGGACCTCAACCGATGCTTTCTGGAAGGCCTCACGGGCCTGGAGCTCAGAATAAAGTTCCTCCTGCCAGGCCCGGGCAGCCTTTTCTGAAAGTGGCAGCAGGCTCAGCCCCGTCAGCGGGTCGAACCGGCACTGCTGCTGGAGCTGGCTGTAGGTGACCGGCTCCCGTGTCCTGGGGTCGCAGTAGGTCTTGGCATTGTCCCTGGGCACTGACAGGGCTTCGCTGGTCTCCTTGTCCAGGTAGCCCCGGGCATAGGCAACATCCAGGGGCACACGGTGGCTCTTGCTGGGGTCCACAATGCCGCCTGTGGATAGTTGGGCATCCAGCAGACGCAGACCCTGCTCCTTGGGGATGAGACCCTTCTTCAAGGCCTGAAACAGGGACACGCTCTGCCCTGAGTATGGGTCTTTGTAGCCTGTTACAGCCTTCTCAGCTGACAGCAGCTTCTCATGCAGCTCTGGCCCCACCAGGCTGGCACGTACGGCCTCGTCCACAGTCAGCCGGGCGCTTGTGGAAGGGTCAATGACATGTCCAGTGCCGGCCTGGGCCTCCAGCAGGGCCACAGCGACCTCTGGCTGCAGCAGATCTTTCTTCAGGGCCTCATAGATGCTCAGCTTCTGCCCTGCTTCTTCCAGCCACACGCCCGCGATGACATTGGTGCCCCGTAGGGCCCGTCGCACCACATCCACCTCAGCAACTTCTTGCACTGAGCGCTCGCCCTGCTGCAGCTGGCGGTAGAGGTCACGGTCGATGACCCTGCTCTCCAGCAGCTCGGCAGCGGGAACCAGGGCACGCAAGCCCTCAAAGCAGAGCTGTCCCTTCTGTTCATGCTCCTCAACCACAGTGATGACGATCTTGATGATCTTCTCCACGGTAACCTTGCCCGTGCGGAACTGGCGAAGCAGATCCCGCCGCTGTTCTGCTGTGAAGTACTCAGAATTGATGATCTCCCAGATGGTCACTGTCCTGCCCTGGAACTTGCCAAATGGTGTGGACACAGTGGCTTTCTTGAACACGTCCCGGGCCTCCGAGTCTGTGTAGACCAGCTCGCCACCCTTGGCAGCCTGATCTGTGAGCGGCAGGAGGCAAAGACCAGTCTCAGGGTCCTCCACACAGCGTTCCAGCAGCTGCATGTAGGTGAGGTTCTCGTGCGTGTTGGGGTCGAAGAAGCCCTTGGTGTCGTCGCTCGGGTCCGCCAGGACGCGGTTCATCTCCTCGTCGAAGTAGCCGCGCTGGTAGGCCACATGCACGGGCACGCGGTGGCTGTGCACGGGGTCGATGATGCCGCCCGTAGCGATCTGGGCCTCCAGCAGGCGGATGCCGTGGTCCCTGACGATCAGGTCCTTCTTCATGGCCTGGAAGAGGGAGATCTGCTCCCCGGTGTAGGGATCCTTGTAGCCGGTGACCGCGCGCTCTGCCGAAAGCAGCTTGTGGTGCAGCTCGGGGCCCACAACGCCCTCCTTCACAGCCTCGTTGACAGTCAGGCGCCGGTTGCGCACAGGGTCCAAGAGGAAGCCTGAGGCCGCCTGGGCCTCAAGCAGGATGAGGGCCGTACCCGGGCTCAGCAGTTGCCTCTGCAGGGCAGCGTACACACTCAGCTTCTCATTGGCTGGCTTTAGCAGCAGCCCTGCAATGCTGCTGCGACCCTGCAGGTAGCGGCGCACATCCTCCCGCTGCGCAAGCTCAGCCACCGTGGTGCGACCCTGTGTCAGCCGCTGCAGCTCCTCCATGCTCAGGATGCCCACGTCCTGCAGCTGCTGGGCTGGCACCTTCTGCCGCAGGCCATCAAAGGCGTACTCAGGCTGCACCTCGGTGGCCAGGCCATCAGGTGCATCCTGGCCGTTGGGCAGGGCTTTGGCGGCCAAGGCCTGCGAGGAGGCAATCTCCTCCGAATGTGCCAGTGCGGCCCGGTGCTCCTCCTCCAGCCGCTGTAGCCTTTCACGCAGTCGCTGGTTCTCCTCGGCCAGCAGCTTCTCCTGCGCCTGCCGCTGCTGCTCCAGGCACTGCAGCTCCTCCTGCTTGCGCCGCACGCCCTCCTCAGCCTCGCGCTGCCGCCGCCGGGCTTCCTCCATGCTGGCCACCAGCTGCTGCTTCTCCTGTTCCATCTGCTGCTGCTGCCGCTGTTGCTCCTCACGTAGCTTCTGCGCCTTGGCCACCTCGTCCTGGAACAGCCGCTCTAGCTTGGCCTTCTCCTGCTCGATGAGGCGCTCCCGCTGCAGCAGGCTGTCCTTCTCAGAGAGGAAGCTCTGCTGCAGGGCCTGTGTCTCCTGCAGCAGCTGCTCCTGCTGCACCGTCTGCATCTGTGGAGGAAGAGGGCGTAAGGGACCTCGGCCTGGGAGACC